ACTGTTTGGCTAATCCACCGCTTGCACTCTTTCTGGGATCGATTACGCAAGTTTTTATATAATTTTACATAATAGCTTATTACAATGTGTAAAATGCAGGATATATGCAAACTATGAAAAACGAATTGCAAAGTACTTTAACAAATGTTCAGAGTGCGAGCAAATGTTATTTTGTATATTATTCTGCACATAAAGATGAGAGATTCCAAGTGTCAAGACTACGTAATTTAAAGTAAAACAGTACTTTGCTGATAGATCAGAGATCGAAAGAAATTTGCTTACGGGAATACGATGATGTAGATTAACTGAGCCATAAGCTAGCAGTGAAAAGGAAAAGCCTAAACGAATTCACCAGAGCTCAAGACTATAGAATTTAACACCTCGTGGACTTTAAATCACAATAATGAGATAAAAAATCTCTCAGGAGAAGAGGCGTTCCCGACACTGATAAATTTTAAAGACAGAGGGTATCAGGAAGGAAGCGTCCATAGGCTTTGACATACAGCCTTCATACAAGGCTTATGACTCGCTAAGGGCTGTGCCAGCCTAGTCTTCGTGTGCCAAACTGTAGAGTGATAATTTTAGGGAAGAATAAAAGTCGTAGATATGACAACCATAAAAACAAACCTGTGACCTCTGGACGGCGCCAAGACATGCTATGAATATGATAAGACAATTAGAGTCACTCCTAAGAGGAGAAGGCAGAAGACAAAGCAGAGGTCGAGGTGTATGGAGGATAATATTTTTTAAGAGTTTATTTAAAATCCAACTTTTCTTCATATATCGAACACGAGCTAGTTTCATCTACAATCCTACTATCTTCGGGGCGTCTGGCTCTGCCCTGTGACTCGAAGTGACTCGTGGCTGTACAGAGAAGTTTTTTTAACCGGTCGTCATGAGTTTTGTATCCAGTCGGGGGAGCTAATATGACAAAGTTGAGGTCAAAACCGTAGTCCGGCCTCAGTGATACAACTTTTCGAAGGACAGTATTAAGTGAAATTAAATGGATTCATGAAGTCTACTTATTGAATTGTCGATAACATCCACTGCCGTATCTTAACCTATTTGACAAACGTAAGAAATGAACAATTTACTGTGTTACCAACTTGACGAGGCGAATTATAGAAATATGAGATACATTAATTAATGCGAATTATAGTGTTTGCGCATTTTTATAGACATCAGGAGTCAAATTCTCTTCAGCAGAAGCGATTTCTTGCGATTCATAGCCTTATCAACTAAGAAAATATCGCATTTCCTTCAGACCTTTATATTTTGCATTCTATGAATGAATACCGAACTTTAAACCACTCTAAAAGATGTTTTCTACTCTTTATAACATTGCCTATTGGCATATGCAGAAATAACAGTTTACATATTAAATCCTAATCTAAATGTATGATCATCAAGCAAGCGCAATCTGGGATTTTGGATATGAGTAGTTCCCAATACCTTTGCGCGAAAGCGGAAATATGTGTACTTAAATCATGTTAAGCAACCTGGGCTGACTAAACTTTGAAATAAAAGGGCGAAGGACAGGAAAAAATTAGTGAGTGCGGCGGTAGTTGGTTTCACTGAGTGTCAACAAGGAAGAAGGCATTACTTTGCATCCAAATTTCGACTATTAATAACCGAAAAAATTTGCTGATCCAGGCCAGACTAGGTAGTTCATGTCCATATGGCAAAAAGTAACCACTCTTGTACTGAAATGAGGCCACGGCAACATGAAAACAGAGAACATTTAACTTTTTATGCTCAAAGAGTCCATCACTTCACTGTTGAGTGCAAGTTCTAAACGCCAAAGTAAACCGAAATTTTGATTAAAACGTAGATCTAGAGATTAGGATAGTACAGCACTAGTTCTTTTTATTGAGCTACAGTATAGTCTTTCTTACCGACGATGCTTACTTCATTTGGGAATAAATCTGGTCGAAGCTCCACTGCTGAAAAAACGCATGATGACCATGAAAGTAGGTACTAGATGAGGAATTCCATACTTTTTGGCCTACCTAAAGTCGGCATGCACTCTCTTCCCCTAAAAGTTACACCAAGTCAAGTTGGGGCTAGCTACCCATCGAATGCAAATTGGGTTGGGATTTCCATAACTTTGTCTACTTCTTTAGTTTAGGAGGCCTGATATCAGTGAGATTTATATTATTGCACGGGATCCAACCACCATCAAAAAATAGGTTCGTTACTGCAGATTGTTGCAGAAGATTAAGGTAGGGAGTGATACAATTAGCAAAAAACAAGTATAGTCAGAAGTTTTAATCACACTTGATGATAGCCCAGGTAAGAAAATGAATATTGGGCAACTCAGCACCATTTTCTCCTGCGGAGCATATTATTTGGGTGAAGAAATGCTAACCGCAGATTGCTATTTGCACGCGGTCACCATAACACTACTAAGAAGGTACTTTTGAAGGGATAGTAAGTGGATGATAAGGATTGCGACAATAGTGATGATATTGATGATGATGAGGAGGACGGGGATTATGCTTATGCTAGTGCTATTGATGATGATGATGATGATGCTGATGATGATTTTAATAAAATTCACAATACACTGGTAAGGGAAATTATTTGATAAAGATGAAGGTCTTTATAGTTTTTAGGCCGTGATCATTACGTGTTGGCGCATTATTTGGAAGTATCCGTTACAAAATCTCAGATAATGATTGAATAGTGACAAGTTATGTAGATCTTTGCCATACTGGGCGAGACTCACATAAACTATTTGCCGATACATTCTCAGACATGGCGGGGATAAGGAATCTTTAGGACAACCAAGCAACTGATTATATACTCCTTTTCACAGATACTTTAAGGTGTGACGGCTAGATTGACAGGACAACTGATGTCAGCAGAGCGATTGCAGAACTTATCAACTTTAAGGAGAGCATTTCGCAGAAGGGTAACATGTATCTACGTTATGTGGGCTAAGCCTATTCCACTTAACTAATACACTCTTCCATAAACGTCGTGTAGGCAAAGCTGTGTACAGAAAATTGAAAAAATCCCCAAACTATCCGATGCAGACATTTTATTTCATTGTGAGTGTGAGGTTTTTTAAGCCAAACTTGTAAAATAAAAGATTATTTAATAAGTGTAAAATAAGAAGCCAGTCAAGTTATTGCCTTTCTGGCTTCTAAATTCTCGACAGCAGTAAAAGATGCCATTACACCGAAAGTCGGTTTCAAAGTGTGGGGTCAGTTAACTTGAAGATATGTAAGGTGAAGCAGACTTTGCCGCTCCAACTCATATCTTTCGCTGCAATTTGCTTCTTGAAGTTTCTTCTGATTGTTAGAGCTGGCACTCTGGCCCGGCATAGGGTGGGAGTCAGCCGCACGCTAGCCACAGACGAGGGCGCAAGGGAAGACACGGACCACGGATCCATCAGCATTGGTGCCACAAATAGTGCTATCTTTGCCTCATTATTGGCCATCCTAGTCTCTTCTTCCGCAAGTTCATGACGTCTTGTCTCAGACCTCCAAGCGGATCCATTCCAATCCACATTTGGCGATTCTATGCGTCCAGAAATTCGGAATATGAGTCTATGAAACAAGTGTGGCGTGGATCCAGCAACCATAGATTCCAAACACATAAAGGGTGTTTATAGTCTCTTTAAATGATTCG